GGTTCTTGCATTCAAAATAGGTGATACGAGTAAATAACTGATCAGATGTACTACTTATGAAAAAGTTAATATGTAAACTCTACAACAGTGTTTCTCAACTGCCGGGCCGCAGCCTGGCATCAATCATATAGGGCCCTTGTCTTACAAAAAAAGAATTACTGGGCCATGGTCTGACAAAGGTTGAGAACCACTGCTCTACAACACAATTATTCCAAATTTTATAGGTTTCAATATGAAAATAATGTTCCTATACCTATAAGGTGCACTCACATTATGGCAGATATAGTATTTCGAGGGAAAGGGAAAATGTTTGATATTTGGATCCCAATACCCCACATCAAAGACTACACTAGTCAGAAAAGCCTGCATAAAGAGAATTTAACTAACAAATTTTCCTTTCAATTATTTTTTAAATTAAACTTGAATGCACTATTCAGAACAAAGTATATTGTACTGTCAATTGGAAAATATCTGACAGAGCACTGTAATTTTGGAATAAGACAATGGCACAAAGATGCCTTTAAAAAACCAAGTACCAAATGAATGAAATTATACAGAACCTGTCATCCATACAGTTGATCTTTCTGTTTAACCAATATTAAATCTTTATACCAAGTCTGAATTGAAGCACCAATGTGTTTTGAGAACAGAGATTGTTTATATAAATTTTCAACAAATGGTTTTTAATCAGTGAAATACGGATTACATGTTCTGGTTAGTGGTGAATGCCATCCTTGGACTCTTACATGAATATATGTAAAAGTATTTCACTGTATTAAGGATGACCCACCTGCATCTACAACATAAAGAAGTGCTGTGTGTATAAAATTGGGTAAAATTTGTTAAAATTATTAAACAACATTTACACTTATATGATAATGCTCACAATACAACACCGTACATTTTATGTTAATGGTATTTGTATCCCAGTTTTGCTTCTGTGATGCTGGATGTGAACAGTGGTGTTATGGTGATTTTGAAGTTCTCTGTGTAGTGCCTGGGGATAAACCAATGTGGCATTCACCACATGTCAAATTATGTAACCAATATCTGATATATTAAAAGCTGTTTGATGGAAACAAATATAAACAATCTCCTTAGTTAAAAATGTCCAGTCCTAAGACCCGTAACTACAAAGCTGAATAAAAGTTGCATACAGAGTGCAATACATCAAAACACAATTAACGGTATTCCCATTTTTAAAATGAAATCTAAAACAATTACTGCATTCCTGATGTAAACCTGCATCTTATGTAATGATTCAACTATCAAAAAATCAAGTCAACAAGTTTATAACCTTTTCCCATTTCCATTACAGAAAATGATTTCTTAGGTTTAATTTTCATGTATTCATCTGACAGTGAACCACACTTTTAAATGCTGGACTGAGTCAACAAAGGATCATAAAAGGGTAGGCACCAACAACTGTCGTGAACAGTGTCACTATTACTTAAGTGTCTTGCTCAGGTAAAATATCTAAGACTGTACTCTTGCAAATATTATGTAGCAGTATACCTCAAATAACATTAACACCTATTTTAACTGTACTAGTATGTTATTCTAGAGATTGTATTAGACAATCATTTAACATTTTTTTTTAATTTTTAGCAATGTTATATTGAGACTATATAGTGTCAGCTGGTAGGATGATTGATGAATAATGAACTGGAAAGGATTTGGAAAGAAATGATCATGGTCTATTCGGGGTATTATCCCAACATGTCTGCAGGGACTGTGGAAAACCACAAAACCTCAGTCATGATAACTGGGTCCTGGTCAAGATTTAAACTGAATGCCTCTTAAGCATAATGGTGGTTCCACTATATTTAATTTTTCCTCTTTATAGGTAGAACTGCAGACTGCCTCTGTGATCCAGTGGTCAGAGTTTCTGGCTACAGATCCAGAGGTCCCGGGTTCGATTCCCGGTGCTACCAGATTTTCTGTGAAGTAGTGGGTCTGGAATGGGGTCCACTTGTGAGGACAGCTGACGAGCTATTTCAGGGAAATAGCGGCTCTGGTCTAGAAAACCGAGATTAACGGCCATGGGGATCCATTGTGCTGACCACGTGACACCTTTCATCCGCTTAAGTTGGCATTTACTTCGCTGATAAGTGGCGGTCACTCTGTCAGTATAGTTTGCTTGTGGACTACAGGCCGCAGAGTTTTTTTATACAGAATTGCTGCAGGATTTGTAAAAATCTTTGCCTCTATTTGTGTTCTGTTTTCAGTTTGATAAATTTCAGAAGTTACTGCATCTGGAAAGAAGCCATACCAGCTGGTGAAGCCAATACCTGCAAACTTGTTTTTAAAAACTAACAGTTCATGCATGCTGTGATGTAGAATAGTTTATGTGCATACAATCAGTGCTCAGTAACTGTTTATCATCATCCTGTATGTAATGTATTTCTAGTGAACTGAAGAGTACAGTCATCTCATTAACCTGTGTTTAGGGAATCCCTGTTTAGGCAGCTCACTTCTTTGTTCTAATTTTATTTTTACATCGAATGACCATACTGGATTCATACAAACACATTTTAATTGACAACACACCATGCACGAAGATCAAAGACATACAGACATTACTTTATGCAACACCTGGAATTTGTTAAGGGACAGAACAGAAAGGTCATTAAACTTACTGATACTTCACTTCTGTAACTTGCATCTCCATAATGAACTCTGTTCATATCAGGGCTCTTCCATGGAAGAATGATTTACACCACTGAGAACAAGCATTAACAGATTAGTTTATTTTTGTATCTCAGATAATGCTCACTAGGTACAGTGACACATGCTCTAAGTCAGGGCTGTCGAAGTTCAAACCACAAAGGGGATACATTATACATTAGATTAACTACCAGCAGTTCACATAAAAAGAATATTTTTTTTTCTAATATACTGATATAAACATCTGCCCTACAATGACCAGATTTATGAAGATCAAGCATATGAATACGAACTGGGCCCATAAAGTTAAAAAAATATTTAAATTAAACGTTGTAAGGTTTATGGTGCCTAAGATCAGCTGCAGCTTTCCTAGACTGTACTCATACTGCAGATTATCATGGATTCATATTAATGCCATGCTTTTTAAAGTTATATACTAGATGTGATGTGAAATCAAACATGGACTATTTAGTAAGCACCTGTAAAGTTTTTCAGTGAGGTTTGCCACCATTTGAAAGAGAAGTGAAGTGCTAACACGTATTTTGGGGAATGGAAAGATAACCTCACAAGCCGCACAAATCCAGCTGGCGGATTGCATGTTATCAGTTGCACAGCCCTGCTTGAGATCCTAGACTTATGGTATTTATCTTATAATTCAGAATGATTTTTAATTTAAATTTAATACTATGTAATGGATATTTAATACAGATCTTAATGATTCTAAGTTGGAAAGTAAATTTTTTTAAGAGAACAGCACAGTATATTTTACACTCATATACTTACACTTTCTTTCCCAAAACTGTTAGAATTTGCATTCCAATACATGTGAGAAGGTGAAAATTATCTACAAATGCAGGAAAGAGAATGAAATACGCAGAATGACACACAACATATTGTTGATTTCATACTGAATTTGAAAGTCATAGAAGTTCAATGATTGTATCATGCCAGTTATAAAAAGTGTTTTTCTATGGGTGTATGTTGCTCTCTTTTTATACATATCTAAATACCTGAACTTCTGTCATCCATGTAAACCAATGTGTACTGTAAGTGTATAATGCGAGATATGAGGTTCTTGTGGTACTATGAAGATTACTGCCCTCTGGACGTGATGCCATGCGGTTCTGCAGAAGGGACCCGTCTACTAGACTATTTGAGGTGTAATATCCCAGAAGACAGTAATTTCTTACTTCTATATGTCTAACATTACCATTCACACCCTGCTGTAACAGATTCTTGAATGCACCTATTTACATCATTATGAACCGATAAGACATGAACTGTCTGAGACAGTAATATTCTGGATGTCGAAAATACAAATGCAGATATTCTAGTTTAAGGTGTGCACTTACAGTTATTTGCTTCAAAGGCTTGCTCTCTTTATGTACACATTTGAACATCACACCACTGATTCAAATTCTAGATGCCATGGAAGACTGAATATTTCAAAGCCATTAAGTTCAATGCCATGGCAGATTTTAACACAGAAAAAACTTGAATTTTTAATTCAAAATACACAGCTCATTTGTCTCCCACTGACAAAAATTCATAATTCAGATGATTAATATTCTGTTTGTATTATAATTAAAGGGCAGTAAAAAATTGTTCTACTACTTTCTGACACCTATTCTAAAAGCAAAATGGAACAAGATTATTCTGCAGGCAACTTACATTGTATCATGATATTATCCTTCTGAATACAAAACCTTCATCCCCACAGAGTTTTGAAACTTGATGATCTGTGTATTATTTTGTATGAACATGTTTTACAACTTCAACAAATGATACAAGGATGTTTCAAATACAGTCAGATGTCCATGCGAAAGAAACTCTAGAAATCTGTATCATGGACTAAACAATTTTCCACAATTTCTAGAAGCAACATATACATTTTAATTACATAATCCACAAAGACTACTGCAGTCCTGCAGTATATATACATGTATATTTTTTGTGTAAATTATTTCTTCCAAATTATACATGCAGTATGCATTCAACATTCTTGTAAGTTAATGAAGTAATCATCATTTTGTTTCTGAATACAGTTGTTAATGTACTGAATTTTGTTTAACCTCATTCTGGAAGCACAAACTTTCAAAAGCAACTGTTTAATCATTAAATTTTATGTGTACTATATGTCATTACTGTTCAAATGTATTTTACAATTTATAATCCTCTGATGTGCTTTAAATGTAAGTCCACTGGAATTCAATCAGCATATTATGTCTGTTTCTTAAAGGAACTTATAAACAGGAATACCCCCTCCCCTCAGTTCCACAGTCTAAACCCTCTGAACTGGCATGTTGCTGAATTCATCAACTGTGCTTTCCTTACACAGTCTTACAGTGCTCTGAATTTATTGTCTTTATAAACTCTTCTGCTATTTAGCAATGCGCAGAAATGATGCCACAGTAATGTGCCTATTATGTCAATATTAATCGTCCAAATCCACTGGATTCAACTGTTACACAATGGGCACTCCTGTTAAACTGGTGATTCAAAGAACAGGGTTTAAAAAGATAGACATGAAACACGATGTGTAAGCTGTCTGGTCTTCATTCCAGAACACTACGATGATCAGCAAACAATGGCAAGTTTCTTCATGCCCTTGCTCAGACACCACAATGGCAAAATTCTTGACTGCAGTTTACACCTGCTATATACTTGTTTCTTCTTCTATACTGGGACAAAATTGCTAACACCTACAAAACAAATTAAGAAAACAACTGAAGAAATGAGCAAGTAATTAATAAAAAATTATAGTTGGTAAAGAATTTTCATTACTAAACCACGATGCAGGGTCCTGCTTGAGCGCCTCAACTAGTCAAGAAATTTCCTGCTTTTTATTGCATCACAAAGTTCACTACCATATTCACAAATGCCTGCAACTGGGCCATATTGTCACACCATATTTCAGATCTGCTTCAATACTATCTTACACGCTATGCCTCTCTTCTCATGTCTTAAATGTCAAGGCTTATTTTTTCAAAATTAGAAGAGAACTGTATGAATTTAACAAGTTTGTCCTTGGGAAGGGGCAACACTCCAGTGGATTATTACACATGTTTAATGTCCTTATGCTTAGGAGAGCCAGTGTGGCTCTATTAGTATAGTGATTATGTTATGGGCTGGACAACTGGAGAATCAATGTTTGATTTGTGTGTGTGTGTGTGTATGGGACAAAGACTTTCTTCTTCATCAGTGTCCAGGACAGTTCTGTGGCCCACCCAATTTCTTAACTAATGGGTCCTGCAGGCACTCTCTCCAGGTGCAAGGTGATCTAGAGATGAAGCTGATCACTTACCTCCATCCAGTGTTGAGGTTAAGAATTCATGGAGCTATACCTCCACTTCACCATACATCCTTAAAGCCTGGTATTTAATTAAAAACAGACTTTACTTATCATGCTTTGTGTCACCCAATTCAAATGCGAGTTCAGATGCAAATATTGGGCATCTGAAGCAAAACATGACATAGCAGAGTGAGGAGGTGCTTGGATACAGGATTATATATGGTACTCAACTTAACGGAACAATTTATCACAGTTATGTGAAAGATATATGATGAGAACTTTATCTATGCTTAATTAGTCGGGGTAGCTCAGTCAGTATAGCAACAAGCTACAGGCTGGACAGCTGGGGCAAGAATTTTCTCTTCTCTATGGCATCTATACTGGCCTTTAAGGCCCACCCAGTCTACTATCCACTGGGTACCAGGGATATCTCCCTGGTCTTAAAGTGGCCAAGGTGTGAAGCTGATCACTCACTTCCATCTGGTGCAGAGGTCAAGAATGGTGGAGGTATATATCCACTCTCCCATACGTCTTCATGGCACAGTAATTGGATTCCATAAATTCAAGATGCAACTTCAGAAAATTCATCAATAATGTTTAAGCTTCCGACTTCTCTTTGATAAGGAAGACTCATAGGAATGTCATATTGCACAGTTTTACTTCATGTACTCTCTGATTATATATGAATGTGGAAAATATGAATAAAGTTCTATTTGCACCTGTATAAACAAATTTTATGATGTTCAGATAATTAATAATGTCACGCACCTTGAGGTAGGTGCCTGCAAGTGTTAACAACATTTCCTCTTGTTCTGTTTAGGTCCTTTGCGAAGATTTACTGTGTCATTATTCTGAATAGCTTGCCTCTCTTTCCGTTCCTTTTTTGTTCTCAAGACTTGTCTTGTTATTGCCATAAACATCTGAGAATTAGAAAAAGCATATTATTACTCTGTGGAACACTACTGTGAAAAAAATGTGAAAACAACACACTGATCCAAAGGATTACAAATACATAATACAGCAACATATAAACTGATACATGAACCTTACAACCCATTTCGCCTGAAAGGAAAATTTCTTGCATATTACATTTGCTATAAAACACAAGTAAGTAAAAAAAGTAAAGTAAAGCTATCCCTGTAACAGGCTGTGAAGGCCCATTCGGTTGTGAGATGTTGAGGATCCCACATTATCTAGACAATTGGTTCAAAGATGGCGGTAAGGTTGTCAGCCTTACGTGCCGGCTGTGCTTTACTCCCCAGGAAAATTATTTAATTAATTCCTGGTACTCATTTCTGTTAGAGGCTGAGTCGACCCCAGGGGCACAGTGTGGCCGGAAGGATTAGGTAAATTGAAAAAAAAAAAAAAATCCATTGACCTCATTAGGACCTGAACCTGTGACTTTCCAGCTTGTAGCATAGTGCCTCAACCATGCTACTGCGTGCCCCCACACAATACAAGTTCTAAAGAAAAAGAAACATTCCACAATTTAAGTCACAAACTTAAAATATGTTGATGCTATATACCTCTTCAACATTTATGTTATCCTTTGCACTGGTTTCAAATAACTGAATCCCCATCTGGTCTGCAAATCGCTGGGCATCCTCTGTCAATACTACTTTCCTGTCAGGTGCATCATTTTTGTTTCCAACTGTAATAAATTAATATTTAAGTATTTTATGCATATTTGTTGATTAATGGTACAGTATCATGATAACGTGTACATGTGGTATATACACACCCAATATCCTGTTGACAACATCACAGTTTTGTTCTATCTCATGTAACCACCTTTTAACATTTGCAAACGAATCGCCACTTGTTACATCATAAACGACGATAACTCCGTGTGTCCCTCTGTAATATCTATAAAAGAGGAAGTATTTCAGATTAAGAGTTCACATAATGGAATGAGAATCTGAACAACTATATACAGACACTTACGTTGAGGTTATGGTGCGGAACCTCTCCTGTCCTGCAGTGTCCCAAATTTGAAGCTTGACTTTTTCTCCTTCTATTTCAATAGTTCGTATTTTGAAGTCAACACCAATCGTTGTTATGTAGCTTCCAGAAAATGTGTTGTCTGCGAATCGCAGCAGTAAAGAACTCTTCCCAACTCCTGTTTTAAAATAAATCGGGTACGCTTAAAGTCAATAACGCAATTAAAAACTCTGCGGTTAGAAGTAACCTGTGGAGAAACCACTTCACTAACTTTGTAGGTTAAAAGGCATATACAGCAATAAACTGTTCTGGCAGTACTTACCACTGTCACCTATTATAAGTAATTTGAAGAGATGATCGTATTCTCTGGCCATATTTACTATCCGTTTGGCTGTAAAGAGCGCTGTGAAAGTACGAGTAAATACTAATTTACGTCACCACTCCTGGTATATAATTTAAAGTAACAGTCTGTACGAAGCCACAAGTGATTCATCCATATTATGTCCAAAAACCAGTACCACAAACTTTCACACGGATGCCGATCTTTGATCTTGTGCAGTGAAACTTCATTCTATGTTTGCCAACATACTGAAATTACAGGAAACGCAATAGCGAACTTTATGCCTTAAAGTCGTAATGTTGGTAGGGTGTTTGATTGTGTCTTCCGTCGAAATTCATTTTCGGAGGCGATGAAAATGAAAGTAATTCATGAAAGAAGTTTAGTGTTATATATTTAATTATATGTACTTCAGAATTGAGAAGGAAGACATTGAACGATGATAAGAAAAGCAGTTTTCTCAAATATGGCCTTTACATTTATTTTAAAAACGAGTCCCAACGTAACTCGTTTAATGGGTTCAAGAGAGCAAATTGTGTTACCACAAGGTGAAGGATCGGATGGTTCCATAAAAATAGGAAACAGGTATCATTATTGAGTATAACGATATAGAATTTTATAAGGTAGTTGAGTGCAATGATCGTAACGTCAATCTGTATTTCAAGTTTCATGATCACATTAGTTGAACTTAACAGAAGTCCTTTCACAGCATTGAACCTGTAAAAATGGCATATACATCTTATGAATCAACAAAGCCATCATTCATACCAACAGATTGCCCTGTTATCATAATGCATGGTTTACTTGGCTCGAAGGCAAATTGGAATGCCATATCAAAGATTTTGCACAGTAACACTAAGAGAAAGGTGAGCTTTTATGCCCCACTTTGTTGAACTATATGCTTATATGTGGCATGTTTCCTTGTTTATCACATTTAATTATTGTCCATGAATTTTTCAGGTCCTTGCAGTGGATGCTCGTAATCATGGAGACAGTCCACATACTACTGAGCTGACATACAACCACCTAGTAGAAGACTTAAGAGCGTTAATGATTGATCTTGCTATTGAACGAGCAACGCTCATTGGCCACAGCATGGGTGGACGAGCTATGATGCTTATGGCCCACAGATATGTGTGTTAATAATTATGAACTAATCATTTAGAACTGTGGGAACTGCCCACATTCAAGCAATGACGCTTGCGTTGTCACACTTGCTTGAATGTGGGCAGTTCCCACAGAACTCTAGTTCTAGATCCAGCGATCATATTAAATGATATTTTTAAAATCATGTCTGAAATATGGTTAATTCATTCCTCTGTTCATTCTGCTGACAGTTACTAGTTTATGAGGCATCTTGCCTTTAAGTTTCAGACTAAAGAAATGACAGACATTTAAAATCACATTCAGTAGCATATCTTCATGGTGCTGCAATCTACATGTTTCACAGATGGATTGCAAGTTGTACATTCATAAGGAATAAGCATGCATATAAATTTTTGTTTGGCTATTTTGGGATGCAGCATTGTACACAACCTAGGTATTATTTTGCAATACCGTCATCACAAGTACTTGCCACTGAATCCGAGGTGTCTTTACAGGTACCATATCTTACCTGTTACTGAAAAAAACTTTGTGGCTTTAGTCTGCAAGCGAACTATACTGACCAAGCAATCTCTGCTTGTCGGTGAACTTAGTGCCAACTTTAGCAGATAGAGGGTGTCATGTGGTTAGCGCTACAAATCCCCCATGGCTATTAATTTCATTTTTTTTAGACCGGAGCCACTGCTTGTCAATTTAGGTAGCTTCTCAGTTATCCTCACAAGGCTGAGTGGACCCCATTCCAGACCCACTACTACTCAGAAAATCTGGTAGCACCAGGAATGTAGCCTGGGACCTCTTGATCTGTAGCCAGGAACTCTGACCACTAGACCACAGAGGCAGTCACCTGTTACTTAATATGTGTTGATTTTAAGGTTACTAGCTTTGTCGAACTATGCTAACATGCCAGATGAACTAGTTGTCATGTTGTAAAGTTATACCACAAATTATAATTTGTACAGTTCAATAAATAAATGCATTTGAAGTGTAAAGTATAGCGTAGCTCATTACATTGTCAATTATCATCTAAGTACAGGTACCCAAAATGAACATAGCCAGTAAATTGAATAACTTCACTCTCATTGGAGATACAAGCAAGCTCTTTGAGGTGAAAAGGGTAAACACCAAATATTATGTCAGGGCAGTAGATCTTGACATGTGCTTCCCTTGTGGCACAGCAGACATCTTACCAATGTTCCATCCATGGCCAGGTGTTTAACATCTCCACAGCTATAGACGTTACTGCCAATAAAGAAACGTGAAGATTTATGCAAGCGGTTTGTGGTGAAAAGTATAAGAGCTCACCAATGTTGTTCTTGTGATAGTTGGTAATGGCACTTTATATCTGCAGTAGGTGTTTGTGCAAAATGGCATCATTCATGCCACAAGGGAAAGTTTAGTGCTGTTACTAGCTGGTAGAATTTAAGTTTCCTGTGACTGTTCAGAGAAAGTTTCGCCAGACGTACAGCCTTGGTGCACCAAACAGACATACAATTGATAATTGGCACCAACACTTGATATGCCACAGGACTTTCATGTGTCTGGTAGACCATGGATGCCACCTGTACAAGTTGAAGCCATTCAGGAGGCTTTCCAGTGCAGTCTGTATCGTGAGCAAACCATAATAGCAAGTTCCTTGTGCTCCAGTCCATGGTTTTATGCAAGCAGCTACAACTCAAGGCATACAAATTGCAATTATGTCAGAAAGTGGACATAAATAACTTTCCACAGCACTAGGACTTTGCAGCGAACACTTTTTCTTGGACAGACAGTGACAGTGACAGAGACTACCCCAGTTGAGTGTACTTCAGTGACTTAATTACGTTTTACATCTAGGTAAAGTTAATGGCCATGGTTGTTGCATCTGGGGATATCAGAATCCTCATGATATGAGGGAACATGAATGCGATAGCCCAGAATTGAATGTTCGGTTCATATGAACTAGTGCAGGAGTGATCAGACCATTTTTCTTGCATGAAGAGACAATGATAGGTGCTGTGTACCTTGGCATGCTAAAGAACTGTGCTGTGTCATACCTACATTACTCATTATTGTGACATGCACAAGTATAACACTAAAGGAAAACAGGATTTGTATGTACAAACATGCAACACTATTTGTTGCAAAATAAGTGTAATTAACATGGGAATTAAAATACATAAATGCTTGCCCCCCGAAATAAAAAGAGTAGAAAATGTTAAAGTTTTTAAAAAAATAAATGAAAAAGTTATTTATTATAAAACTTTTTTTATTCTCTGCAGGATTTTTTTAAAAACAATGATGGATGGTGGTTTGGTGTCTCGGGTTGGTTCTGATGTGTGGTTGTATATAGATTATATAAGTGTATGCATTGCTTTGTATTGGATTGTTGGGGATGTCGTCCTCAGTTGGTAGCTTGAGCAGGAGGACAGTGGTCCTAAGATGATTGATTGTATTCAGTCTTGTGTATCATTTTGTACATTTGTAAGAGTTGTTGACTTGTAGTGTTTTAGACGGCTTAAACTGACTTGTCCAATTGTACTTGTGTAACAGTTTATGGCTGTAAATAAATTATGAATTACGTGGTGGTTATATCTTCCGGCAGGATTGGGTATCATCATGTTTGTAGACACCTGTCACTGAATTCGTCATTGAGCAACTCACAGGAATGTGGATCAATTGAGGTGGTTCCATTCCATCTCTTTGACTTTCGTCTGTGGGGATAAATCAGAGATGTGTATTTGACCTAAGTCAATAACCTGCTTAATCTGTGCTATAGGATCATCAGTGCAGTAGTATCTGTAACTCTGAAGATATTAAGAAGCACCTGGACAGAGAATATCAGTTGGTTGTCTGCAATGTCACAAGGGGGGTACATGTTGAGATCTGCTGACATGACAGAATATTTGGTGAGGTTTTACAATTTCACCTCAAACAACTTGCATGCATTTTCATTGGGAGTGAAGTTATTCAGTATCTTTATCGGCTTTGTGTATCTAGTTTACTTCATTATATTAAATACATGTTGAATCCCCACATGTTTCAGCCATATAAGACCCTTTTTAAGGTGTGTACCATATTAAAGGAAACTTTACATTTCATACTTCTAAAAATAAATGATTCAGAATGTCTGAGTCATAAATTTCTTACAAGAGATTAAAACTAATATTATGAAAAATTCATTGGTATAGGTTTTTAGTGTAATTTTGTTGATCATGGTGTGTCGTGCTATGTTTTATTGTTGCTGTCACACACCCATTTCTTTCGTATCTGTAAATAGTAACATCAAGTTTAAAGTGATTTTTTTTAATTTATAACATCTTTTAGATTTAAGGATTAATTTGAAATGAATAAAGTGCATGTGAGATAAGCATTCTCATGTTATGTTGAAAAAGTAAGATTATTCAGTACTAGATTCATCTCTGTAAATTTACATCTGCACAGAAGTGCCCTCTCAATTGGACTGCGTTCTGGTGTGATTGTTAGTAGTTTGTTATATTCACATATATGTACAATTATAAGAGACAACATGATTATATGGTAAACTGGAAGCAATTGTGTTTTCAGCCAGAATTGGTGGAAAAGTTAGTTGTTGTTGACATCTCTCCAGTTGCTGTTAGTCCTGGTTTGTTCACCATGCCTAAGTATTTTGAAGCAATGATGTCAGTGAAGCTTGTTAAAAATATTCCATTGTCAAAGGTTCGCAGAATGGCAGATGAGCAGTTGGCTAAATCTGTGTTGGTAGGTGTTCTGAAAATTATTATACCTGTTTGATAAAGCGCTGTGTTAATTTATAGTAATTATGGTACCATATTTGCCAAACTGAGAATAGTATTGAGGTGTACAGTTCTAAATCATGTGCTAATGATGTATGTTTCTTTTTTAACAGGATTCAGGAACACGCCAATTTTTATTGACAAACTTAGTGGAAGCTGAAGGAGGTCATTACAAATGGAGAGTCAATCTGGATTCTATTACCCGTAATTTTAATAACATTGCTACCTTCCCAACTGTAGGCACTTCTTGTTCAGTTCCTACACTATTCATTGTAGGAGCAAATTCAGATTATGTTAGGTCAGTATATCAATCAAAAGTTAAACTTAACAGTTTAGCTAGTATTGAAATCAGCAGAAATACATGCAGAGAAAATTATAGCTCAGTTTTCCATCAGACAGTACAACTTTTTACTTTAGGTAAGTTTCCATTTGACATGTGTTTCCATTATTTGTGACTATGATTTGACCATAGGGTTCCCTCATTTGATGCCATCCAAAATTGTACAGTTTGACATAGAAACTTATTTCTGATGGTTGAAAACAACAGGTTGTCCACTGTTCAGATGTACTTTGGGGCAGTACGTTATGAAATGTAAGTGTTATTGTAGTAGGTTCATATTTTGGTATTTGACAGCAGAGATTAGATAAGACAAATTTCCTGAGTCTTTGGGGGGGGGGAGAGGGTAGATTTTTTTATCAGGACCAATGATTTGCCTAGAATTCTAAGTAAAAAAGGGGGAACATAGTGAAAGAATGAACTCGGGTGAGGTGATAGTGAATTTGTTGTTATTTTGCAAGTCAGACTTTTCATGTGACATGGATGCTACAGTAGGAGGATTTGTTTGGAGCATTGCCTTGGCAGCTGAAGATGGTAAATGTGAGAGTTAGATATGTACTCAGGAGAAAGGGGTTGAAGAGCATGAGGGGAAGCAGGAAATTTCTTGTGGTAGTCAAAACTGCAATTTACTAATGAGCTCCTGCCTGGAAGATACGCCATGGCAGGATTCAGTCAGGATTTGACTGTAGCTGTAAGCCAGTTGTTTTTTTTTTCCAGCAGGATTCTGGGTAAGTGGCAAGAGTTTTAATTTGAATTGTTTTTTCACCTGCATTGAAATGATGGAGATTGAACTCGGGTAATGCTTGCTACCATTCAGTCCAGGACCTTTTGTCTTCTCGTTTGCTGTCCAAAAACAAAAAAATTAGAATATACAAAACTATAATTTTGCCTGTGGTTCTGTATGAGTGTGAAACTTGGTCTCTGACATTAAGGGGGGAACATAGACTGAGGGTGTTTGAGAACAGTATTGAAGAGAATATTTGGACCAAAAGATATGAAGTGACAGGAGGTTGGAGGAAACCAAGTCAAGGAGGATGAGGTGGACAATATTAAAATGGATCTCAGAGAGATAGTATGGGATGTTATGGATTGGATTGATATGGCTCAGGATAGGGACCAGTGGAGGGCTCTTCTGAACATGGTAATGAACCTTCGGGTTCCATAAAATGCTGGGAAATTCTTGAGTAGCTGCAGAATTGGTGGCTCCTCCAGAAGGGCTCAGCTCCATGAGTGAGTAAGTAAGTAGCCTTGTGGTCATGAATTTTATGAATCAGTGATACTAGTTCCATTCTTCTTTCTCAGAGTATATGTTTTTTAATCTCCTTGTGTTTAAGCCAGAGGATGACAAGAAAACAAGTTTCAATGAGCAGAATTTGCGTACATTCCTGCATGTGTTCAAAGAATGGGGGTGTGAAGTATGGGCTGGATTCATCTGACTCAAGTTAGGGTCCTTGTCTTTCTCTTGTGACTACAGAAACAGACCTCTGGATTCCATGAAAGACAGAACATTTCTTGCCCAGGCAGTGCATATCAGCTTTTCCAGGAGGATTCTGCTGTGTTGAATGAACTGGTATCATATATTAACTTAGTAACTGCAGAATAAGTCAAAGCACCAGTACTGATAAATGTTAGTATGTTTGCTTGATCCATGTGGCAAGGTAATGTTACCTGCACTTAAAGTGCTGCTAACATAAATGGTAATTCTATCTAATTTTAATTACCCAAGTGAACCATTCAGCAGATAATTATCAGGTAATGTAGCAGTATTCATGTAACAGGTATGTAATGTTCTGCATTTATTTTATTAAATGCTTTGTAAATGCTATGTCTGATTAATTATTGATAATGTTCCCTTTATATTACAGATCTGATGTTCATGAAGAAATCAAAAGAATTTTTCCAGCAGCAAAGTTTGTAACTATCCCTGGTGCTGGTCATTGGGTTCATGCAGACAAACCCAATGAATTATTATTAGTAATAAAGGAGTTTATACAAAGCATGGAGAAGCTAGAAGAAAATAATTGAAAATTTTGGAATTCTGTTTTTAGTCATATCTTATTTAGTAGTTTTTCCCAGTGATGTTTTAAAATACTGGCTTTGAAAAGATCTTTGCCTTAAAGAAAATTTACATTGTAATAGTTGAAAGACAGTCATATTATTATTTGAGAAGAAAATGACCTCATATATGCTTTATTCAGATTTTTTTTGCAGTCATGTTTTACATTACTTTCAACAATTGAGACCTCACTAAATTGATAGTACTATAGCAAGAAAAAGAAAATTACTAGAAAAGAAGAAGGTAAAAGTTATTAGCATGAAATATGGAATTAATTAAAAATTTTTCCAAAAATAAAAATATGAATTTGATGACAAATGTAATAAAATTATTTTTAAGCGCCTTTTTCATCAATCTTAACATGAGTCTGCAATGAAGGCAGGCACATAAATTGCTAAAGGAAAATAATATCTGTCTTTAAGTATAGGGTCTTTGGCATACTTTCATTATTTTGGAGATTCTGCAGACTGCATTAACAATTTCATGTCATACATTCATTCATTATATGGCCTATGATGACTGTGATGGGCGTTAGTGGTGTGTGTAATAAGTCTGAGCATGAAGAAAGTCGTCTTCTGGGTTTAGGCACCGTGTATTCTTCGTTTTGGCTGACGTTTCGGAGGAACGTAGCGCCTCCACTTCAGAGCAGTTGAATGGCTTTGAATGCAGCGAGCAGTAGCCGCATTCAAAGCCATTCAACTGCTCTGAAGATGGAGGCGCTACGTTCCTCCGAAACGTCGGCCAAAACGAAGAATACATGGTGCCTAAACCCAGAAGACGACTTTCTTCATTGTCATCGCCGTGAAAACCTCAAAACTTACAAGTTTGAGCATGTTTGCATAAATTGCATATCCTCCATTTTCAACCAAAACCGCATGTTTCTGAGTAGGTGTATTTTGAAGGAAATGTGCGTAAGATAGCTATATTAAATCTAGTTGAGCTGTTAAACTCTGTTTTTACAGCAGAAAAGGTAACTAATCAGCCAACTTTTTTGATTAAAACACATCTTTGAAAATTATACTGAGCCAGTTAAATCCAGTTCATATTGTAACTTGTTTAGAAGATCTGTGAGGTGTGGTCAAAAAGTACAGTGAATGGACATGCCAAAAGAGATAGACTTGAAAGGATTCTGACGATGGTGTATACTGTACTTCTTTTGGCTTATTTTGGACTTCACCCATCGTCCGGTATATAAATGACAAAAAACCACGACGTTTCGGAGACTGGATCTGTCTCCGTCTTCAGGTGGATAGGGAAGGGTAAACCTACTCAATTGGGCCCCTTAGAAAGAGCTAGTCTCAATCACTGGACAAACCTTGATCTGTAGAAACAACCTATGAACAACCGACAACCAGTTCCATCAGTGGGAGGAAGGAATAAAATCGCAGTAAAAACATGATAGAAAATTTGTGCCAAACATGCACTTGTCAACAATGTAAAGAAACAGAAGTATGGGTTATATTCCATGAATTCAGTTAAAAATGAAAGTAAAAAACTGGATAATGCATGCCTAATCTGCGTGGATAAAGAATCGTGCCACCATGGCGACTTCCGGGAATCAGACTAATCCCCGGAAGAAAACTTGCAGGAGTAGTCTGCTTTTACCGGTTCTCACGGTCTCTTCGCTTTGCAGATTTCTTATATTTTTTCTTCTACCCTGAAGATGGAGGCGATACGTTCCTCCGAAACGTCGGTTAACACCACATATACACGGTGCCAAATCCCAGAAGACTGCTTTCTTCAGTTTTTTTTTAAACTTGCAAACTTTATTAGACTCCCCTTAATATCATATCCTTCAGGAATCTCCATAAATATAACTTCCTCAATATCTCCGTTTAAAAACGCGGTACAGACATCAATGTGGTCAGTGTTCCAGTCGTGCTTAGCAGCTAAAGCAAATAACAAAAATTCATCCCCAGTGATCAGACTTTGAAAAAAAAAAACATGAATCTGAATTTGTGTAATCACAGAACTTTTGATATCAACAGGCAGAGTTTTTGTTCTTGTGACAGAAGGTTTAATTTAATTTAATTTTTATTTGGCATTCATAATTGCTAGAATGGTAACACTTGGACAGTTCACATCATTAAATACATCATTCTTGAAATCCTTTTGCCCAAATGCCTAAAGGTGTGGAACAAACTTTGCACTTATGTTTTTTTGTCAATATGAGTTGTAGTGAGCCAAATGAAATGTTCAGAGGGTTAGTAATTTCTTGAATCATAGTCTTTTGGTCATATCATTTTGTTGATTTTTGACACATTTTTGTCTGTTGTTGAAATCAACAGAGGACCTGAGCATTTTTCATCTTCATTTTATTCAGCACCACCATGAAAATGTTCAAACTGCTTTTATACTGTCTTTCAACTCACAGCAGCATCTCCCTAAACCCTGACAAGCATTTCATGGGTTTCTGTAGCTGTCTTGCCCAGTTTAAAACAAAATTTCATGTTGATTCTTTGATTTCCCTGCTCTCCATATCATACAGCAAAGATGTGAAACATATATTCACAGCAGTTTCAGTTAATGATACAGTGAATGGAGTTAGTTGAAACATGAGTTTTTAATGTCTTACTTTGTACAGTGTATTTTCAACTGGACCTTGGGTCACCGTAAATATGCATCTAGTCCAGAGCTGAAGGAAGTAGCTGCAGATTTCGTGTGAGTTAGGAGACAGATAACAGAAGGCATTCTGTGGATATGGATGTGGTTATCAGGGAAGAATTTGGTACTTGGAATTGGCTATCTTAACAAACTTTTGGCTGTGTCAGAACTTAGATCATAGTTTGCCTACTGGGGAAATGTCTGGAACTTAAAGATTTCAAACTGCCAGCCAGTGAATTCCATATGCTTTCTTAATTTAGAATATTGAAAATATAGACAGTTGAGAAGCTTCTACAAAGTTTTTGACCAGGCCTTTGAGTCATTTTGCATCTGGTTTTTAGTTCATCATCAAACTATGTCACTTCACACAGTAATTGCGATAATGAATTTGGAAATTTTATAAGTACCAATCACAGACTGATTGAATTTGCAGTCTAGAATGATGAAAAACTTGCTTAATGATCAGTAAACCAGCAAATATCATACAAACAACAAAAGTGTTACTGAACCGAATTTTACATGCACAGTTCCCAACAGAACAAATGCAATAAGGATTTCAATTTCGCAGCTTATATTGCTCTGTAACTCCACTGATTCAAACAAAGAAACTCTGGTTTTAAAAATAATAAAGCTCACTTACCTTACTGCAAATGAAATGAATTCCCTTATTTCTTTGTTGTGTGCTCAGTAGAATTACCTTTATTGTTCCCTATTCTGCCAATACATTCAATATATTCCTCAAACAGAAATGAGTACTGGGAATCTCCTTGGACTTAAAGTGTGGTCCGGTGTGCAAGGCTATCAGTCTCTTTCCATCTATGTATTGTATTGTATTTTATTTATTGTTAAGTTCAAGAGATCCAAAGATGAATGTAGAACATGTCATTAAATAACAGCACAGAATACATACATAAATATTATACAACTAGCCAGAACAATGAATACAACAATAATAAAAATTATCTATTTATTCATCCACAGTATAAAACATATGAGTATTCAAGAAATGCCTTAATACAACCTTAAGCTTTTTAAAATTATCGGATGTGTTCTTGAGCTCTATGGGCAATTTATTGAATTTTTTTATACCCGCATAATAAACTCCTTTTTGATAAACAGTTAAATTAGCTTGAGATAAATACAAATCTTGTCTTTGTATAGTATCAGTAGTATGAGAATCAATGTTTGATGGAAAAAGAACTTTATTTTACAATACAAATACTAACAATGAAAATATATATTGTGATGCAAGTGATAAAATATTTAACTCTTTAAATATGCTTCTACACAAAACTCTATTGCCATATCCCAACATTGCTCTATAGCCATGAATGTCCCATACATTGTTTGAGGAACTTAGAGCTGACAAAAACAAAATTTGCAACTACAGTAGAACTTGGTTATAACGTCATCAAAGGGACCTAAAAATAGTGTCGTTATAAACGAATGTCGTCGTAACCGAAATGGGCACTTCCACAGTAGCCTTATGTTAGTCACGTAAAAATCTACCAAAAACCGAGTTAAAATGTTGCATTTTTTAGTGAAATAC